GGTTAGATGGGATATTGGGAAGGAATTGTTCCCTGTGAGGGTGGTGAGGCCCTGGCACAGGGTGCCCAGAGAAGCTGTGGCTGCCCCATTCCTGGCAGTGTCCAAGTTCAGGTTTATGGAAAGTGTCCCTGTCCATAGCAGTGATAGAAGGAGATGGGATTTCAGGTCCCTTCCAACCCAAACCAGTCTGTGATCTTTATTGAGAAGAGTCAAATGCTGAGGGCAAAGGGGAACTGCAGATGTACACAGTCATCCCCTCAGTGAAATCCAAGCATGTCATATTCCCTTGAATTCTTACTCTCTAAGAAGAAGCTTTTACCTTTTGGAGTTGTGTTAAGAGTTTTGCTAACACTTGGAAAAGACAAAACGCTTCTGTCTAACCAGGTTCCTTTCCTCATCTTAGGGGCAGATGCACAAGGCTGGAGAAATCAGAAGTTCAATACAATTGTATTCAATTTCTCTGTGCTCTCCTACAGAAAACTATATGGGATAAAGATAAACTATATGGGATAAACTATATGGGATAAATTGATCATGGTTTTACTGTTTGTATATGAAATGAAAACCCATCGTTCTCTCATTTAAAAGCACATTTATTCCTACCTGACAAAGCTATTCTCTGTACCTGCTTGTGAACCATTCTCTTATGAAAGGCCAGGATTCAGCCTTTGTGACAAGAAGTCAGTATTAGTGACATCCCACTGCAGCCTAAACCTTCCCCACTCTCTGTATAGTTTAACCAAGGAAATACAGTAAAACTCTGCAAGTGCAACACTAAATCTGGTGCAGGATTAGCTGGGATAAACCAGCAATGTTTGTAAGATTGCCTGGGGGTGACTGGGCTGCCCCTCAGCTCAGGGAGCAGCACAGGTATGCCAGCTGCAAGGGGCAAAAGTTTTCCAATGTAATCAGCTTCAGCTTGTCAGCCCAGCTTTGGAGAGAGACAAGCTAAGGAGGCTGGGCTGTCATCACATCCCAGGATAGCTGTGAAGTCACCAGAATGGATCAGCAGAGCAGAAGGCTTCTGCTTGAAGGAGCTGCTTCACCTTTTGTGGCAATGGATCTGTACGTGCTCAGCAACTGGCCACACGTATCCTTGAGAACTATTTACCTCCACAGCATGAACACTGGAACAAACTGCCTCTTCCCAAGAATCTCAAGCAATTGTTCCATCTTCAGGACAATTATTTAGTTCAGGGTCTAGAATCTGGTGAAACTCAATCTAAAAACTTAAGCTACTGCTGCTGTTTTCCTTAAGTAGAAACATAATGGCTTTGCAGTGGGACATGTTTATTACAGGCTGGTTTGATGGTCTCCAGTATCAGCTGAAATTAAGGTGAGGTGCTGGCACTGCTGATCCTTCTGTTCACATGAAAACCCAGCAATGCACTATCTGCCTCACAAGAGCAGGGCATTGCTTCAGCTCACTCAGAGACAGCCTTTGATGGTACCTCAAGGACACTGAGGCTCCTTCTTCCAAGGAGGTCCAGGATGCTGCAGTTACAGGAGTTCTGCCTGGAAGTGCCTTTCTGCTTCTGCCTTTACCAATAATCAGCCTCTACAACTTCACAAGCACTGTGAACAAACTGCTTTTTTACTGCCTTACAGAACAACGGTGGAAGCATCAGTTTTACTCCTTAGCAAGTGCTGTACATCATGCACAAGATCACTGCCACTTTCTGATAATACCATAAACATGGACTAATATAAACCAAAATTAGAGTTAAGCTATAACTTACTCACCAAGAGCTATCTGAACAATCCTTCTGGACTCTTATTATATTAATCTGTTTTTATGATCAATTTTGGTTTTATTCTCTAACCATAATACCAGCATTAAACAGAGAAAACATTGCATTTGAGTTATGGGAACAAGAGTATTTAAATTCAGTCCAGCAATTTGCAAATTAATAAAAATTATAGCATTTAAAACCACTATACAGCATGACAAATACAAAAAATCTTAACTTTTCTTTCCTGCTCACAGCAGAAGAGGGTTCCAAGGCCAGTTACAAGATGCAGGAGGCAATAAGCAGGAGAGTGAGGTCTGGGAGGCATGTGAACAGTGGTTCTGACTCCTGAGAACCCACAGAAGACAGAGCTGGACATACCTTTTCAAGTAGGTGGATACATAGGTAGTGGGGGCAGCAGAGTGGGGAGCTTCGTTTCCCTTTGGCTCATCCCTCCAGGGCTGCCGGGTGTAGGAGCCACTGCGCACCAGGGTCACAGCAGATTCTCTAGAGCAGGACAGAGACAGGCTTTGCTTAGAAAAACCTCTGGAGTCTGCTTTTGGTTCCTTTACAGTTTCACAACACAGATCCTTCCCTTACACCTATGTGTTTCATTGTTCAGGTGACACAGCTCAGAGAAACACCTGCTCTGGCCTTAACATCAGCTCCTGCTCTTGCCAGCTCACTTCAGAACCACAGATGATGTAATGTTTTGCATAAAGAAGAACAAGATCCTTTTTAGTCAGAAAACTTGCAAATGAAATTCAGGTTGTCCATAAAAGTAATTTAACATATTAAATAATGTCATTTAATATTCTCACTGCTGTCTGTATCAAACAACAAGGTATAAATGGGCAGATATTGGAAATGCAGGGAAGTTTTATTCTTCAAGGTATCCAGGCAAGGACAGATTCAGCACAGTAAAGCCTTTCATAAAATCATTAGGCTTGCAAAAATCCTCATTGAGTCCAACAATTAACCCAGCACTATCAGATCCACCACAAAATCATGAAGCAGAAAATAACAAAATATTTACAGTATCTGAAGTTACAAGTTATCAAGAAATTCCTAGCAGTACTATTTAGCCTGGTTATCTGAAGACAGGGCTCTTTTCCTAATCCTAATGCACACTCTGGCAGTGTGTCCTGCTCTCTGCTGGTGCTGGATAGGACCTGGAGCTTGTAATGCAGCACTAATCCATTCTCCCATCAGCCTGCAATTATTTCTCATTTCCAGTTGTCATGCCCAGACTGATATTCTCTCAAGACACCTGTAGCTTCCAGAAAGGAAAACCCAGATGTTTTGAAAGGAAAGAATATTGGGGAAAAATCTGTACTACACAGGCATACCAGGGCACCATCTGCTCCTGAAGGCCAGTCCTCCTCAATCTGTCCCCACTCCACCCAGGAAAGGACACTTATCAGCACCTACAGTGGGATGTGCCACTTGATAGCAGCCTCTGCCAAACCTTCCTGAGCTGATCAACAGTCACAATTTGTCTGCAAGACTCTGGATCTCAGAGACTGCCTCGGAGTGAACAAGAACACAGTGGGGAGGCTCCAGCAAAAGATCAGCAAAGAATCTCAAGCTGTGCTGAAATTCTCTCAGGATAATCTGAGAGAAATCTGCCATAGCTCCTGCCCAACAATTACACTTCACAGCCACTGCTCTGCATGTGCCTTTCCTCCTCTGTTGGGGAAGTAGCTGGAAATGAGACTAAGGTCAAATTTTACTCCTTCTAGTACAAATTGAATCATAGAATGGCCAGGGTTGGAAGGGACCTTAAAGCTCATCCTGTTCTACTACCTGCCCTGGCAGGGACACCTTCCACTTGCCCAGGTTGCTCCAAGCCCCATTCAATCTGGCTTTGGACACTTCCAGGGATGGAGCAGCCACAGCTTCTCTGGGCACCCTGTGCCAGGGCCTCAAACCCTCACAGCCAAGAATTCCTTCCCAATATCCCATCTAACCCTGCCCTCTGGCAGTGGGTAGCCATTCTCCCTTGACCTGTCACTCCAGGACCTTGTCCAAAGTTCCTCTCCAGCTCTCTGGGAGCCCCTTTAAGGCACTGGAAGCCTCCTGAAGGATCTCCTCGTAGAGGCAAGCTCCTCAAATACATCTGGCAATCCTGGATACATACACATCATTTACACCATGGTTCTGTCCAGGGGCATCTACACACACAGAGTGTAAAAACAGCCCTGCAATGAAACAGTTCCTACATGGGAGAGTTCACAAGCTCCAGTGAATCTCAAGTGACAGAGGTGTGAACAAAGGGACTGAAGGTGACTGCTGAGCAAGTGACAAGTACAAGTGGCAGCTACAAAATGAGGCACTTGCATATTAAAAGGAAAAAGGATCCATAAATCTGATTGCTTGGATGGAGCCTGTGCCTGTGTGAGTACAGGCGTGAAGGAACCAGTCTGCTGATTCCTGCTCACCTAAATGAAAACCAACATACCAGAACTTTTATAGACAGAGCTAGCTCTTGATGTTGGGAATTCCTACGTACTTGAGACTGCTGAGAAAATATACAAAGCATGATTACAGAAAAATTGTATTCCAGAAGTATTATTGACAGGATGAAAGCTGAGCATTAACTTCAGCCAGTCTCTGTGGGAGGATGGTTTGTAAGGATAGTGCTGAAGGCAATTTTCCTCAAAGAATTACAGCTGTACTTATTACTCAGGAGTGGAAACAGCCTTGCCTGTCCAATAAGAATGGGTGTTATTGAAGTTTGGGGTAGCTGGTTATCAGGGGCTGGAGATGGGGGTCTCCTGGCTGTGCTGAGGAAGGGCTATGTGGCTGTGCAAGGGACAGGGTGGAGTTAGCTGGTCAGGCAGAAGGAAACTTGCAGAGAGAAGGAGGCAAGGAGCCAGTGCTGTGTGGAGCTGCCTGTGAGAAGTCCACAGATCATGAAGGCATGAGAAGTTTTTAAGATAATAAGGGACTGATGATGCTGTCAATCATGTCTGTCAACAGTGACAAGTCTCACCTGTTTTCCTTTTCTTCTATATCACTCGTACTGCTCAGTCTTCTGGGGACTATGGTGGCAAGATAACTCTTGTTTTCTCTGTCCTGGTGAAGCAAAAGAGGAACTTCAGCTACACATCTCTTACTCTTCCAGCATGTTCAGTGGCAAATAAATTCTTGGGCAACACATACCACAGCACAGAAATATCAGTTCTGAAAGGGATTTCCTGATGACCATGGTAGTGAATAAAAGCATGTTCTAACTTAGAGAACAGCTTGTCAATTACAGAATCAGAGAATGGTTTGGGTTGGTAGGGATCTTTAAGTTCCCTAGACCAGAGCTCCATCCAAAGTGGCCTTGAACATCTCCAGGGATGAAGCATCTACCCATGAGCAGAAAAATTACTGAATACATGGGATGTGGCTTACAAATGCAACTGGTGGATAGAGAAGGAATCCATATAAACAACAGAGAAGGACAATCTCCACTGCAGGTATGTGCTGTTGTCTGGATTGGACATTTTCTGGTAAAGAACAGGCTGTGCCAGACTGGCAGCCCGGTCTAAACTGAGCAGGAATTAGGCACCAAACTCCAGTTCTGGAGAAACAACTCATAGGAGGGAAATATTTTTCAAAAGAAAAAGAAAGTAAGAATGAGAGAGACCCATGTTTGTTATGGATACAAACTCCTGCAGTAACTCAAAGGGAAAGGGGTTTACACCTGTGGGGCAAAGTGGATACACTAAAACATCTTTGCTGAAAGCCAAACCTTTTCCTTGTTGTCCAGCAGTGCAGATATCCGAGGGCTGGATGAGGAGCGGTAGATGGAAGTTTTATCCTTCTGTGCCTCACAAGTGGCAGCGACTTCACTCAATGTGTTGTGGCTGCCAGTTTTCCTCAGGCCCAGGCGCCACGATGAAGGTGACTCATCCTTCTGCTCCTCTGACTTGCTGAGCCAACTGAACTGTAGAGGAGAAACAGGGACATTTGGAAAACGGAAGAGCACTGCAAGGCACACTCTAAGTTCAGAAAGTATTTCAAAAAGGCCCGGTTTTTGCTGGGCCAGACTTGTAAGACAGAATGACTTATTTCCTGCTTCACTTTAATTACAGGACAGCTCAAGGGGAACTCACAGGGATGCAAACTGCCTCATCCCCAAGGACAGAGGATGAAAGGAATCTCCTGTCACTGTGCAGGTCGTTGCCTACGCAGTGCCGTCCTCCAGCTTTGAGGAAAGAATATAAGGAACAATGAAGCTTTTATTATCACCCATTTAGGAAGGGGGAATTATACAGCAAAGGCAGAAAACCAAAGACAAGTACTTAGGTCATATGGAACTAGCTGCAAATAAACCCCTCACACCAATGGAGTCGAGGAGAAGCCATTGAGATCAACCAGGGAACTGTAGCCAACAACACTGTAAAGGAAGAGACTGAGGAAACGTGGATTGTTTAGCATGGAAAAGAGAAGGCAAAGACAGGATTTAGTTGCTCTGCTACTTGTGGTTGGGTCTATAGAGGACATGGAACCAGACTTCTCTACAGTCTACAGTGAAAGGAGAACAGACAATTTTCCACTTGGGAAATCCCAGCTGATATGGAGATGTAACTCCTGGCAGGAGCGAAGCTGCACTGGGACAGAGAGTAGAGCATCTCCATCCTCAGAGACCTTTTAATACTCAGCTGAGCTCAGGCAGGACAAAGCAACATGATATGAGCTTAATCCTGCTTTGAGCAGGATGTTGGACTTGCAGAGGCCCCTTCCACTGTGCCATATTTACCACAGAATGGGCCTTTGTGCTTTTTGTTACATGAGGCACTCCTGACCTGCATGTATTACTGCTTAAATGTACAACGTTAGCTACAGTTATTGAGCCTTTCAAAAGGCTGCCCACTGCTATGCAAAAATGGAGCCTGAGCATCACAAGAGATACTTGTACAGAGCTAAGCACTAAGTTGTACAGAAAATAAAGCAAACAAATTATTAGGAATTATTAGAAAAGTAGAGAATAGAAAACACTGTGGCTCTATGTTACTGCAGGCTACCATCACACCTTTGGTACTAAACACAGCTCAGGTCAGTGCTCAGCAGCAGTTGATAAGAAGGGAAGAGTTCAGGGAAAGGCAGCAAGAATGAGTAGAGCAAGAGAGGTTTTGCATGAGGAGATAGCCACTATATCAGCAGTCTCCAGGCTGAGATATGGCCAGGGTACACGAAACCCTCAGTGGCACACAGAAGGGTTAGTAAGGAACAATTATTCCTTGGTCCTTCCAATAAAGGAACAAAGGACAGCAAACAAACCCAGCATGTGGTAGGTTAATGGGACAGGGAGCTTTGTAGAGTTTTTAACTAAACTTGAAGGACTCTTTTTACCACTGGACGTTAGAAGATCCCAATTTAAAAATGACTGCATAGAGGAGAAGTCCAACAGGGGCTACTGAAGACAAAAAACACACCAGGTTCAGCGAGTCCCTGAAATGAGGGAGGAAATTCCTGCAAGACTGTGTTCTCTAGTAGCTTCTGATGGTCACTGGTGGGCAGGACACTGGGAAGACAAGGCTTTTGATCAAAGCTGATCTAAGCATTATTATACCATATTCTATCTGACACAAACCATCTGTCTTAGGTTGCAACACAGGATGTGACCAAAGGCATCTGTTGAAACCAGGTGGGGCAGTGATCCTGATCTCTGTGGGAGATATTCACTGCTAATGGGCCAGCTGTTAAACCAGCTGGGGCAGTGTTCTTTATCTTTCCCACAACCCATCCTCCCTCCAGGAGATCTCTCCTGTTCATGGCCATGCAGCCCCAGGGCATGGCTGATAAAATTCCATCATCCCATTGGGAGATGCTCCACCCAGGGGGAGGAGCCAAGCATTTCCTACCCAGATCAAAGCTGAGATTTCGAACATCAAGGCAGTCTTCTCCCACTGGATTCCACAGGAAAAACTGGACCTTCAGAGGAAAAATGCACCTTCTACAGGAGCACTGCTTCAACAGTGACATCTGTCACTGCAGGAGGATGCAGCCACCATTTAATGGCACTGCTACCACCACTCTGACTGACTGATGGGGTGTTAGCTTGGATTCTGACTCTGGCAGTGTTTTGGGTTTGTTCTCTGTAATACTGTATTTCTATTTTAATTTTCCTAGTAAAGAGCTGTTATTCCTACTCCCATATCTTTGCCTGAGAGCCTCTTAATTTCAAAATTATAATAATTTGGAGGGAGGGGGTTTACATTCTCCATTTTAAAAAGAGGCTCCTGCCTTTCTTGGCAGACACCTGTCTTTCAAACCAAGACACCATCTGACACTATTCAGAATAAATGGAGCTACTGGGGAGCTCTGCCCTCAGACTCACTGTGTGAAGACTGCCAAGCTAAAATTATCCCTGCAGTATTTGAGCAATGTTTTCAGCTCATGTCATTTCAATGCAGATGCAAAGAGTTAATCTGTACTCTACCATTTCCAGCACTGCCAGTCTACTGAGCTACACAGCCCTAACATTTTCATGTAGTTTTGATGCTTTCCTCGGAGAATGCTTAAAACCACAGCAAAAGCTGCCATCTGTAAATTCTGAACAACACGGGAACAGCACATACTAATAACTCCCATAACAGAGGGCAACACAGCCTAAAGCCCAGTCTGTCAAAGAGAATTATAGAAAAATCAAACAGATGAGACAAGGTAAAGAAGTTGATCTTAAGTGACTGGGGTCAAATATATAATTGCTCTGCTCACAGGCCAGCTTCTATACCCTAACACCTTTATTCTGCTTTACACAGCTCAAAGGAGTGAGATCAAACTCTGCAGCTGGGGAAAGGTTAACTCAAGTGCTCACACTTCCCAGCATCCTTCTACCTCTAACACTTCCCCTGACAAGCTGGCCTGAGCTGAACAATGCCCAGAGGAGCTCTGATCTCAAGATCATTTGATCTTGGTCACACTCAGTTACATGCGAAAAATAAAAAATTGTGACTAAGCAAGAAATATTTCCCTCTGACAAGCACTGAGTGCTTCAGCCCTGGCCAGGTGTCTGTGTTTTCTCCTAAAAGAAAGCAGCAGCACACGACAGGAGCCCTGTGCAGAGCAGAGTCTCCTGGTGCCATCTAGCTGAGTGATCTGAGAGCTGGAGAATTCACATAAGATTTTAGTGATGACTTCACCTTTCAAAGCTTTTATAGCCCAGCTGGCCAGTCACATGCAAACTACCCTCTGCTTGCTGGGCAGTAACATCAAACCACTGACTCAACTGGCTTTGGCAAGTCAGAGGCACTTTGGATGATGGTGCTGAGCTCACTACTGGCACATGGGCAGGAATCAGCTCTTGTGACAGATCTGCTGAAAAGACACTGGCACCAGCCCCCTCAGGACTGACAGCACCCGAAGCATGTGCTGTAGGCAGGGTTTCTTCACCACAATTTGCTTTGGAGGGTCAGAGATTCAAGGAGAACTGTATTGTCCCTACACTGCTGTTAACACACATCTTTATCAGAATTTCATACTAGCAGGCTTTTCTAAATTCAAGTCATAAAGTCCTCTGAAGACTGATTTCAGAGCACCCCAGTGACACCTTCTGCTTCTGAGCATTGCTGGAGTCCCCATTGATTCCAAATTCACTTACTCTTCTGGCAGATGCAGTGAAGGAGTTGGGCTCAGGTGGTGGCATTTGCTCAGTGATGCTGGGCCTGGATTCACGGCTGGAGTGGTTGGCAAAGGGCTCTTCCTTTCTCTCTACAATTTTAAACAAGAAGAGAAACCAAATGTTTCAGTATTGCACTTCTGAGGCCCTTCTTTACACAGAGTGGGTCTGCACTCCAGTACAGTGCTGTGTGACCTCAGTGTCCTTGGATCACAGAGATGTCAGTGCCTTCTGCACTGTCAGGTGTCAGAGCTTTCTGCAAGGAGCTTCCTGCTTCCTAAAGAATGGGATGGATACATTTGTCAGGCAAAGCTTTTGTACCTGATCCTCACAGACAAGCAAAATCTTTGCAGAAAGCACCATAGAGGACACACAGGTTTTTTTGTTTTTCACAGTTTTGTTTCCTGTCTGGGAATTTCTTCCCTGGTAAATCTTGGGGCACATGCTGCTCCTGTTGTAGCACAAGTGTGGTACAGCCCACAGCCATGAGCGCCCAGTGCTGGGTTTCACTGCACAGTTCTCTGTGGGTAGAATTTCTGGTCTTCTGCAGCAAAATCCATTTTTCTACATGAAGCCAGGACTGCTGCCCAACAAAAGCCCTTATTTGGGCTCCAAGCAAGCTAAGCAACCCTTGTCCAAGCTCACAGCTGGCTCCCTGCTTGTTAGGTAAGTGCAGCTGTCCACTATTATATTTATTTTTTGTATCTATGCACATGCTTGACAGAAGAACATCCACCAGACATTACCAGGGAGAGAAAAAGCAGAAAGTGTGACTCAGGCAATAGGTTCACTTGACAGGAGAGCACGGGCTGGAGACAGACTATTCACCATAAACCCAGGCACATGGAACCTGCCTGAGAAATGATGTACCTACACCCACCAATCATAGCTTTCCTTATAGCTATGAGTGCTCACACAGTCATGGCTTGGAAAAAATAAAGCAATTTCAAGCATAAGCACCCTAACAGTCCTAGCAAATAACGTATGTGCAGGGAATAAAAATCTGCTGTTACACATTTGGAGTCCTTTGGATGGAGCATCTGGGAGGATGGCACCTTGGAGTGTGAAGATCAATCTTTCTGTAACAAATATTCTCAGTACTAGAAAAATAAGAATTCAAAGGACACAGAAAACAGAAAAGAGCAAACCAAGAGAAACATTTTAAAATAACAGGAAGTTAGCAGGACTGAAAGAGCCTAAACTAAAGAGACAAAAACAGAATTGTGGAATGTCCTGAGATGAAATGGAACACACAAGGATCATCCAGTCCAGCCCCTGCCCTGCACAGACACCCCAACAATTCCACCCTGGGCATCCTGGAGAATGCTGTCTAAACACTCCTGGAGCTCTGGCAGCCTCAGGGCTGTGCCCATTCCCTGGGGAGCCTGGGCAGTGCCCAGCACCCTCTGAGGGAAGAACCTTTCCCTGATATCCAGACTAAATCTCCCCTGGCACAGCTCCATCAGTTCCCTTGGGTCTGCATGAGAATGGATTCTCAGCCACTTTCCCCTCTCTGTGAAGAAGCAGATTTCAGTCCTAGAGCTGAACCCTCCGGTGCACTTTCACCCTGGGGAAGGGGCAATAGATCCCCCATTCCTCCTTGCAGGCCCAGCCTGCCATACTTGGCACCCGAGTCCATGGAAATGCCCATGGATAAGGAAGGATGTGCTGCCATTTGCTGACAGCTGCTCATTCTTGTGACTGAGGTCTATAAACACAGGGCACTGCAGGAAGGGAAGGCAGCAGCAGCTCTCCAGGCTGGGCTGGATGGGCACTGGGAGCCTGTTCTGGAAGTTTATAGCACACAGGTCAGCTTTTAAGGTCAAGCCTAATTAGAAGAGCACAGACTAAAGTGGTAATGACAGGTTGGGAAGCACTAACTGTGAGCAATGTGACTGGGAGCAGTTGACTGCAGAAGAGGGACAGGCAGAGGAACTCTGTGCTGGCAGTACTGGCTTTGGGCAGGATCCCACATTATATTTCACCAAAATTTTAGCAATAAACATTATGAATTCCAGATAAGAAAAACTAGAGATCATTAGTTCAATCTTCTCAAAACAAATTTGGTAAGAGTAAAAATTTAGGTTTCTAAGTCCTTTTTTGTGTTTTTGGATAAGGGTTTTTGTTTGGTTGGTTTTTAAACAAAACAACGCTAAAAGCTTCCATGGCCTGTTTTAATTCCCTGCTTTAGTTCTCAGTACAGATAATCACCACAGAATTTTATACTGATCATTCTGTTGTTTACAAGAGGTCAATGCCAAAGTAATTGTCTTCAAAATTAATGAAGTGACATTAATGCCCTTAGGCTCCTTTGTCTGAAGAACACAAATTTCTTACAAATTATAAGAAACATACTACTCTGAAGTCTTCCAACAATTTCACTGCTTCCCTCATCCAATTTCCTCCTCCCAGAGTCTCTGCAAATTCAACAAATTAATTGCAACCTGAGACTCTTCAAAACACACCTCAAAATAAACTTGTGTGTTACACTGCCAGCTTCTACATGTCCTGCTTTACGCTCAGCTACCAAAGGGGTTGGAATTTTTAGGTTTATAAAGATCACTCAGAATTTTTCTTTTCACCTGGACTTAGAGCACTTTAGAACAGAAGTAATAATCTATGTGTCCAGCACTGCTCAGAATGATAAAGGTATGGGAATATTACAGAAAATGAAGAGGAATAAGGGTATAATATTCATGTTTTCATACCCATGCCTCCTGTACAATCCAAGCATGTAAAATGTTGACCAGATAAACACAGAACCACAGAATCCCAGACTGGTTTGAACTGCAGGGAACCTTAAAGCCCATGTCACTCCACCCCCTGCCATGGGCAGGGACACTTTCCACTATCCCAGGCTGCTCCAAGCCCCATCCAACCTGGCCTTGGACACTTCCAGACATGGGATGGCCACAGCTTCTCTGGGCAACCTGTGCCAAGGGCCTTACCTCCCTCACAGGGAGGAATTTTTTCCTAATATCCTATCTAAACCTACTCTCTGTCAGTTTGAAACCATTCCCCTTTGTCCTGTCACTCCAGACCCCTGTATATAGTCTCTCTTCATCTTCCTTGCAGGCTCCCTTCAGGTCCTGGGAGGTCACAATGAGGTCACCCCAAAGCTTCTCTTCTCCAGGCTGAGCAATCTCAATTCTCTCAGCCTTTCCTCCCAGCAGAGCTGCTCCACCCCTCTGATCATCGTGGTGCTTCCTCTGGACTCGCTCCAGCAGCTCCAGGTCCTTCCTGTGCTGGAAGCCCAGGGCTGGAGGCAGCTCTGCTGGTGAGGTCTCACCTGAGTGGGGCACAGGGGCAGAATCCCTCCCTGCCCTGCTGCCCACGCTGGGGATCAGCCCAGGAATACCATTGTCTGTCTCTGAAATCAGTAATACTGTGATATTTATTATTTTCATTACCAAAATGAAAAATCCTACTTCTCTTTGGAGTCTGTCTATAATGTGGGCTGAGGCTGTTACCTTACAGAATCCTGCTTTAAATAGAATACCAAATACGTGACTCCCCCACTCAGACATGCAGCAAGAGACAAGTGTAGCTGTGTCTCCATCCAGCTGGGCAAGTCCACACTAATTTTACCAGAGATTTCAGAAGTTTACAAGGTGGGGTTTCAATTCTGATGGAAATTTCTCAAAGGACTCAATAATCTTTCCAGGAAAGGAAAGTACAGTAACAAAGCCTGAAGCTGAATCATTACCTGAATGCTTGTTGTCTCCTATTCCTATTAGCTTCAGTGGTTTGACATAGACTCCTGTAATGTGTTTTGCTCAGTCAATTAATGCAATAAAAAGACCTGTTCTGGCTTTACATAAAGTTTAATGCTGAGTGCTGAGTGTTTAATGCTTCCTTGCTGAAGGATCTTAGGCTGTTCCTACATCAGTTAAACCTCACACAGCTCCAGGTCTTATAGGTGTGCAAACATTTGAGTTCTTTGGTCAAACTACCACCACGTTTACAAGGATTACAAGCAGTGGCACCCAGCTAAATAGGTATAATTTACATTTATATAAATACGTATATTATCAGGGTAAACCCCTGATTTACGGTGAAAATTTGTGACCTGTACTGCATGTCTCTTTCTACCACTGACATGTCCATTAGACTTGATTTAAAAGCTCCAAGATCATTTCCTTGTGTTACTGCCATGCCCACCCAGCTGGTGCAGCAATAACTGCAGGATTTTCCACTCCTCTCATCCTGCCCCAACAGCATTAACTGATACAATCCTAACACAGGTGACAATTTCACTGGCACAGAAGCACAACAAAATTTTAAACTACACTTCTCCTTGGGATCTATTTAGTAGTATACTGGATATAGACCACGTAAGTTGATGTTAAAAGTAATTTACCCATTAAACATATCACAGTCCAAGATCCATCTCTGTCTGCAGAATATTAAGTACAAATACGTTTTGGCTTACTGTAAAATTAAGTATCTGTATTTAAACTTTCTGTGCTGCACATATACACTTTTAAAACTAATTAAGAAAGCCACAGAAATTATGGAAAAGGAATGGGAGTAAGATGCCAGCAATATACTATAATGTAAATGCTACTGTGACTCTGTGTACTTAATCCTTATTTTCCACTATCCTTTGCCTGGAACACAGAAGTTCCTCACCTCTGTAATCACCCAGAAGAGCTTCAGCCCTTCATTTCACACTGATCCAAACACAACAGGCTATTGCCTTCCTACTCCTTCACCTGCTTCCTTAGCACCCTGCAGTACATGAAGGATTCTTCCTGAACTGGCCAACAAGAAAAAAAAACATGTTTAAGAACAAGCTGTGGACAATGTGTTATCTTCAATATGTGAGCTGGAAGTAGGAATTAAAATAGGATCTGAATGAGGTTTTTTTAATAATTATGCTGACCTGGGAGTCAGCATTTGAATCAGCTTTTTTAGCACAGTAGCTCCAGATTTCTCCAAATTCTGTACGTATACACCAGAAGTAAAACTTTCAGCATGTCTTTAACAACTACGTAATTAGTAACAATAACAACAACAACATTAATAATGATAATAGCTACGCTAGTTATTAAATCCAAAGCTGTACAAAGTCTTACCTGACTCCTTTTCAGCATCCGATTCTGAAACTTCATCTTCAGCTTCTTCCTCTTCAGAACTAGAACTGCTCGAGTCCTTGTTCTCCTCCTCAGTTTCCATGGACTTCAACGTGTCTTCCTCATAAAGGATCTTCTCTTTGCTGCAAAATAGGAAATTTTTAGGACTAGGCAAGCAAGTTATCTGTGCAGTACTTCTCAGGAGCACACAGACATGATTTACTATATACAGAACAAGTAAAATCCATCTACAGACTGAACACTCCAGCACTTCCATCATGGCCAATTTGCCACAGATTCCACTGCAGGTCTCACATTTGCTAAATCTGCAAGCATTTTTCCATCCACAAAAATGTGATCTCTCCTTTTCTAGTGCCACACAATGCAGCAGTTGGGCTGTAGGGCTCTGTGCAACAAAAGGTGCAATTCTCAGCCCAAAGATCCAATCGATCCTCAGCCAGAGCAGGAGCTGGAGAACCAAACACCAGCCCAAGCCCTTGTTCCACCACTCACTGGATATGTTAAGACACAACTAAAACTGTATTTGAGAGAGCTCAGATTAAAAAAAAAAGCATGAAATAAACAGCAGTGAATTGGTTTTGACCCAGCTGGCTGTGAGAGATGAAACTGCTCTCCCATCACTGTCTAAGCAGTTTCTTTTCAACTAAGAGGGAGACTTACTTGGTGAAGAGTCTGTTTTGAGGCTTCCCATTCATGTCAGCTTCAATCAGTTTATTCCTTGTCTCCTTCTCACTTCGCAGCTGTTAAAAAAGTCCAGGAAGATGAGAGAGAATGAGACAGAGATTAACCAGCCCTGTCAGCATAACCCAGTCAGCAGCACAGCACAAGGTGAGCCCAGACTCGTGAGACCAAACCAGTGCACATTTGAACAGCAGCACATCTGCAATGGCACTGTGAGCCTTGCACTGGAGCTCCACCAGGGCACAGCACCCAATATGTCCTTGGAATGCAGCTGCCATTTAATAAAACCTTCAAAGGCACCTGCAGCTGCCCCTGCTGAGAGCAGGGATGAAGAACCTTGACTGCTCTCCAGAGAAGCTGTGGGTCCCCCATCCCACAAAAGCATCCAAGGCCAGGTTGGATGGGCTTGGAACAGCCTGGGCTAGTGGGAGGTGTCCCTGCCCATGGCAGAGGGTGGGATTGGATGAGCTTTAAGATTGCTTCCAGCCCAAACCATTCTGGGATTCTGTTGGAGGTTTGTCCACACGACTGTATGCCCATCACATCAGGATAGACTCAGCTAAAAATTTGCTGCCTTTGTGGCTATTATTTACTTGCTGTCAGAGAAAAGCATTCAAGTCTGCCCTGTAAGACTTGGTCAAGGCAACCATGGAACTCCTGTGAGGATGGGTCACTTCTTAAATCTCTCAAATGCACAAAGTCATTGCATGGGAATACCTGGGATTACACAGAAATACCTGGGATTAGACAGAAATTGAAAGATTTTGTCTAGAGAGCAGCAATATTAATTTTACCATGAGCAGTGGACAAAACAGTACCCAGAAATTGGTTTAGTACCTTCCAGAAGCACAGAAACAGCTGAGACAGAAGTAGGGATGGCAGTAAGGGGCTCAATTTAAGGCTGACTCTGTTGTGTCATGGCTCACCAGGTTATTCTTTTTCTTTTGACAGCAGTTGACACGAAGCAAAGGAAGTAAAAGCACTGTAAATTCTGAATGACAGAATCCCAGAATTATTGGGTTGGAAGGGAACTTAAAGCTCATCTTGTCTCATCCCCTGCCACTTGCAGGCATGGGACAGCCACAGCTTCTCTGGGCACCCTGTGAAGTGGGAAAAGCTGCCTACATTCCAGTGAAGAGCGAACATCTGGGATACTATGTCGTTAAACTGACCAAACTGCTGGAGCATGGCAAGGAAAGTGCAGGAAACAGCCTGCTCCATTCACAGGTAATTCAGTAACTGGGAAAAAAATCCAAAACCAAATCAAATTAATTGCTTCCAGCAAACAAATATCCTCCCTGCTTTCTAATAGTGGCAGCAAATCTTTAAGCAAGGGTGGCACAGTGTTCTGCTTTAAACTGAAAATATATCTGATTTGAAAGCTATTTTGGCAGACAAATAATGTCATGGAACTGCCTGTTTTATCCTTAACAAATATAAGTATTCTATTTTTAAGTGATAAAAATGGCACATGATAAACACGTGATAAATTGGCTTTTCCACTAAAAAATCATGTCCACTAAAAAAAAGTGTGATAAAATCTGGATTCTTCTTCTCAGATCTACACTGACTGAATAAATGGAGAAGGCCTTTATATAGTGCTTCTATATAGAGAACAAGGGGGTTGTAGCTCCTGCAAAGCAGCCCTAAAAATGGGTGAGCAGTCACCCAAAAAAATTATTATTTTCCATTTTCTTTTCTTTTAAGAAGTGCAGTTATCTGCAAAATCCTGGATAGTGAGGGAGAGTGGAATCCAAACTACAACCCTGATAGTATTTATCAACACCTCATTTAGGGAGAAGCTGATTAATTTTTAAGAAGTTCCTGTGAATATTAAGGCTGCTATTTGAGAATAGCAGCAGCTGTGTTGTGATCAGAGCTGGAGCTCTAACCACCCACACTGTCAGTTCCTGAAAATCCTTTCCTGGGGTTTATCAGCAGTGTTCCCATTCTGTCTGTTTCTGAACCCAATGTTTTAAGTGATACTTAAAGATTTTTAATTCTTTTTGAAGGAAGGTTAGCTTGTTTTTTGGAAGCACCCAAATGAGATAATTGAGTAGACCAGATGAAATAGGAAAAAATTCAATCCAAAC